GGAACAGGCGCTCATGCAACCCTTCTCCAGCCGGGCAGAGCTCCAGGAACTGACCTAGGGGGTATCCCTAATGTGCCAAGCCGCGGGAGCTGGGGAGCAGCCAGAGCACCATGTGCCTTGGCGCCTTAGGGTTACTCCCTAGATGAGTGAATGGCGCTCTGCCTGGCTGGAGAGGGGGTTTGCCGGGCTGTTGCTCGTGAGTGTGGTCACCTCATGGCTGCTTCGCCCCTGAGGCTGTGCCCGGCTCTTGGGGAGCCAGTTCGTAAGGGAGCAGCTGCCCGGCAACCCCAAAATAATAAGCCCTCCCCCTATAATAAGCCCAAGGCCATATTTCATGGGGCAAAAAAAAAAATAAGACCCTATCTTATTTTGGGGAAAACATGGCACACTGTAGGTTGAAAGGGTCTTTTCCTCTTTAGTACTAATCTGCAGAAATACCTTTTAACAAAATTACCCCTGCTGCTTTTTTCTCTACATTTTAAAAGACATTAATTTTTCATTCATGTTTTTGTGACATTGGTTTCTGTATCAAGTCATGAATATGAATTGCATCTGCAGCATGATTTCTCTATATTTTAAGATATTAAATAGCAATAGCACATAGACTTATATACCGCTTTAGTGCTTTACAGCCCTCTGTATAAGCAGTTTACAGAGTCAGCCTTTGCCCCCAATAATCTGGATCCTCATTTTACCAATCTTGGAAGGATGGAAGGCAGAGTGAGTCAACCTTGAGCCGCTCAGGATACAACTGCTAGCTGTGGCAGTGAGTTACCATGAAATACTGCATTCTAACCACTGCACCACCAAGGTTCATAAATCTTTTTTTTTCATGATATTTTGTGACACTGGTTTCTGTATCAACTCACAAATAATTTTTGCTAGGTTTATGTAACAATGACTATGCTGGCATGTGGGGAACACCAAGTTGAGGACCACAGTCTTAGATATTTGTGTATATTCATAAGGAGCCTTACATAATAAAGAGCCCTGGTGGCAATTGCACTATTGCAGGCAAACTCTGCATTCCCACAGCCTGGAGTTCGATTCTGACCAACTCAAGGTTGACTCAGCCTTCCAAGATTGGTAAAATGGGGACCTAGATTGTCAGGGGAAATAAGCAAATAATGCTTTTACAGATAGTCCTCGACTTACAACCACAATTGCGCCAAAATCTTCTGTTTCTAATTCAGACATTTGTTAAGTGGGTTTTTCCCCATTGTGCAACCTTGCTTGCCATGGTTGTTAAGTAAATCATTGCAGATGTTATGTTAATAATACTAGTAAATTAGTGAACCTAGATTCCCTATTGATTTTGCTTGTCAGAAGGTCACAAAAGATACTGCAACAGTCATAAATATGTGTCAGCTGCCAAACACCTGAATTTTGAGCACATGACTGTGGGGATGCTGCAACAGTCATAAGGGTGAAAAACACCCATGTCACTTTTTCCAGTGCCGTTGTAACCTTGAACATCACTATATGAACTGTTGTAACTTGCTTGCTACCTGTACAAGCACCCATAGACTGCTATAAAGGGTT